GGAGGAAGAAGACAATAAATGCAGCTCATCTGCCAATAATAGAAACCCCAAGTTCCTGTAAACATACCCCCCCACCACCACCACCTAATTCATTATTACATTTTCTACAATTCACACTAAAACTTTTGTTTTACTGCAGATAGAATGTGAAATCCGCTTCTGTCCTTTAACCTCAATTCCAAAATTCAATTAAACTTTTGCAGTCTTTACCACAAAGGATTTTAATAATTCCCAAATGCCAATCCTGACACCAAAGGTCCTTGCTGAAAAATGGATTCTTAGCTAGTTTAAGCTAGTCTTCCTGTCTGGCCAGCTGTTAAGCACTCAAAATCCCTTAAAACTGCCAAAACTGACCAGCCTTGTGGATTGGTGGCTTGTCCGGTCTCTTTTTCCCAGCATGATTCAGATTTTGACATTCAAACCTGTGAAAACCTAAATTGAAGGGAGATCGGTTTACATTTAGTCTCATTATCATTGAATTTGGAGGTACCCAGGGCTTGAAGTGGGCCGGTACACACTGGTATGCAGTACCGGCACTTCAATATTTTAGTCTTTAGCGTACCAGCACTTTTTCATGCGTACTGGTACTGAGTCAAATCGTCAGTGTCTGGGTGATTAGAAATGACACTATAAAGCACCCTACCCAGGAGGTCATTTGAAACGGTAAACTTCTGGAAAGTTCAAGATTCCAGTAAGGGAATGCATTAGTAATAAGTAATAAGTTCAAAACAGCAATGCATCTCATCTGCCAATAATAGAAACCCCAAGTTCTTGTAAACATGCCCCCCTCACCTAAGTCTTTATTAAATGTTCTACAGTACACAATATAATTGCAGAGAGAATGTGAAATCCACTTCTGTCCTTTAACCTCCCAATATTCAATTAAACTTTTGCAGTCTTTCCCACAAAGGATTTCTGTAATTCCCAAATGCCAATCATGACACCAGAGGTCCTTGCTGAAAAACGTAGTCTTAGCTGGTTTAAGCTGGTCTACCTGTCTGACCAGCTGTCAAGCACTCAAAATCCCTTAAAACCACTAAAACAGACCAGCCTTGTGGCTTGTGCAGTCTGTATTTCCCAGCATGGTTCTGACTTTGACACGCAAACCTTCAAAAATCAAATGATGGAGGGGAGATATGTTTGCATTTAGTCTCATAATCAGTGAATTTGGAGGTACCGCAATAAATAATTATCGAAGCATCAAAGCAAACTACATTGGCTATTGGTTGGATGATTAGTTCTGATAAGTGTCGCTGTTTGGTAGAGTGCTATTATTATTATTGCTCAAACTGAAGCAAGGACTGGTGGGACAACAGCTGTCCTCCACAAATTCACAGATGATGAGTCGAAGACACATTCCCACATCCGAAACTTAGGGCTCAAAGAAAATCCCAAGTCCCTAAGTTTTTCCCACTTATAATAACAACACTGTGGTGGTGTTCATTTGCGATTAACTTATAAAGACTGTACACAAATGCATCATTACATTTTGTTGTGGACCAGCAAGCAACAACCCAGAACACTTTAGCAACCACTAGCAATTCTCTAAAAAACACCCAGAGCACTCTTGCAAATGCCCTAGCAACCTACCAAAACACCCTAGAATCATGGTAGCAAGCTTTGGGCAGGCAAACAGTAAATGTACAAATCTAGTTCACATCTATCCTCATGATTAATTAAACAGAGGCAAAATGGAAACATAAATTGAGCCACTTTGGCCTGCCACTTGATTCAGGTGTGAAGTGTCAGTGGAAACAGGGCACCAGCATGTACTAAAAGTTCCAAAACTTCCTGAACCTTCTGCCTGCAGCATGACCTCTGCGCTGAAACAGAGCTTCTCCGGTGTCTCTGACACTTCTCCCCACACTGCTGTTTCACGTTTCTCTTGTGTAGCACTCTATCCTCAAAACAACTCTGCTGGAGCCATGGGGGTCGGTGCCCAACCACGCTGTCCCTGTTCTCGGGTGTATCCTACTGACAGTCTTCATCTGCCACCATAGACAGTGCCATCTCTGCAGTCCCCCACAATCACAAAGAAGCTAAGATTAGATGTAGGTTTTTCAATGTGCGCAGAACCAAAAAACATGCATTTGACAGACTTTTTTATTGAAAATAACTTTCATTGCATTTATGGTACACATGGTCATGGGTTCAATTCTCAGGGAATGCGTGAACATCAGTTCAACTGATGTTGAACATTCAACATCAGTGAACATCAGCTTAAGTTCATGCACTCCTTGGGAATCGAACCCACGTGAATTTGGCAGACGCTTTTATCGATAGCAACTTACATTGCATTCATGGTATACATGGTCATGGGTGAGCTAATGGTCAAAGCTATGACCAATAGCTTTGCTAGAGCTATGCTCTAATGTTTGAGCTATAGGAATCTCAAAATTCCTGTGATGTGATCTGAGGTTTGAATCGTACATATATGAGGAAATGGAGTAGTGGCATCTAGTAATTCAAGCTCAAGGCTGGTAACCAGATGGTTGCTGGTTAATTCACAAGAAGGAATGGTCCATGAGCCAACAGAGCAAAACTTAAGGTTGAACAAACTGAAACTATGCCTGTTCTGTTTTACATCCACCCATTTGGCAGATGCTTGACCCAAGACCTTGGCAGAGCCAGCACCGTGCACTTCCATTTGCACTACAGTGATACCAGTTCAACTTACAGTAGAAAGTAATGAATACTTTTTTCTAATGGGACGGTTCTATGCTTAGGATTTCAAGCACCATTTTGGAATTTCAACATCTCAACGTCATATTTTATTGTTCTAGTTACTCTCCTAGTTCTCCTAGGCTTGCGTACCTTTGGCAGCCCAGGCCCTCAGTGGGCTGTTGTCATCAATCACATGGTAGAAAGTGAGGGGCAAGATGAGGAAGGGGCTGTCACTGGATGTGTCCACTTGGAAGGCTACATTCCTCTGTTCCAGACGCACTGTCTCACCCTCTTTAGTCTGTGAAGTCTGCAGCAGCTTACCTGTTACCTGAAGAATCCCAGGAATTGGACATATAGTATGATAAGTTGTACATATGTTGTGATAGAATTGAACATGAAATTAAACATTAATGCATCATATGTGTTTACCTGGCAGCCCAAAAGGAGACTCTTACGCATGTTAGCGATACGGATCATAAGACAAGGTCGGCCCTCATGATTGGCGACCACAGCATGTTGACTGAACTTCACCGTCTCACCACGTTTTTTCGGCCGTGCTACCTACATACACCAGATGAAAATGTACATAACACCGTATTAGATATGAGAGAACTGTACATGTCATAAAAATATATATTTTTAAACCAATATTGTTCCAGTTCAATCCAGTTCCAGTATGGCTGCACGATTAATCACAATACAACTGAAATCCCAATATGGCTTTTTTGAGTGAAGCTCAGCACTGTGTTCATTTAGACGTGGGCAGCTCATGATAGATCATCCAGTGTTTTCAGTGTCTCGGATCGACTTGGTTCACAGCAAATGCTGCTCCGCATAAAATTCATCTCTGTATTTGCTGTGAGTTTGGTCCACTTGAAATGCATTTGGGAACTCAACATTTGCCAGCCTTCTTCCCACACTTGTAATGAGAAACGCTACTAAACTGGCTAATGTCAACAAAATAAGAGCTTAAGGGTATCCTTGAGATTTTCTGCCCAAATGAAAGCTCGATTGTTTAACATTTCAAAATTGAAGATATAAGACAAACAGAAATATTTGTATTGTAATTGTACAGTTTACAAAATTTTCTTAATAATGTGATCAGATTTTTTATTCCCAAATCCTGCAGCCCTAAATTCCAGTGCTCCTACGTACATTTGTGATGTACTTAGAAACCTAAGCAACTTTTCAGACAAGTTTTCTATTGTACCTTGGCAAGGAAGGTTCCAGTGATGAAGATCTCCATCACCATGGTGATGACAAGTTGGACAATAAGCAGAATGATAGCAAGAGGACATTCCTCAGTGATGCAGCGAAAGCCATAACCAATCGTAGTTTGTGATTCCAGGGAGAAAAGGAACGCTCCCGTCAGGGTTTGGACCTGCATCACACACGGCGTGTGGTTGGACGGAGGGTCAAACTCTGGTGAGAAAGGACAAGAACCAAAGAGATGAAAATTACAGGGTTGCAATTTAATAATAATATTTGGGTAAATAAACATGAAGGTCCTATTGAAGAACATCTTCTTTCCTCCTCACCTAGCAAATCTCCATGCACAAGTGCCACCAAGTACCACAGCACTCCAAAAACAAACCAGGTGCCAGCGAAGGTGGCAGAAAACAGAAAAAGCTTGTAACGCCACTGCATGTCCAGAAAGGTCGTCCACAGGTCACGCAGGTAAAGCGTCCCTCGACCGCTGATGTGTTCGATGCGTACATTGCTCCGCCCATCTTTAGATAGCACCCGTCGACGGCGTCTCAATGCCGCAGGTCCGTTTTCTGTCGAAGCCCCACCTCCTCCACCTAGGAGTGGCTTTAGAACATCTGTCTGTGTCTGGGAGTGGCAGACCTTCTGTGGGGAGGAGCTACGGGAAGAAGGGGGCGTGGCTGAGGTCATAGCTAGAAGGGAAGAGAGAGATGGTTTAATATCATTAGTCTAATTTCTTCTAACTTCACGCAGACCTGAGCTCCAGGGTTGCAAGAAGATTGGCTACCCCTGGTTTAAAATGTGCATGTTCACTATTCATGGTAAATTTAAAAAAAAATAATAATAAAAAGTTGTTATTTTTAGCACAGATCATTTATGTCTTGTGTATAAAACTCTGCAAATTATCTCCGCTAATTTATGCTATTTCTGCGGTTAGATCTGAACTTCAACCAGAGATTTAGAGCTTCATAAATCATTCATGCATTAAAACTCATCATGATGTAGTGGTTTGTGTTCAACATGCAAACAAAATCAGTTTCTAAAATGCACAGGTGGCAAGGCTTTCTTCGTTCAAAACTCTAATTAAAGACTGCTAAAGCTTTAAGCACACAAGGCTGATTCTTTCATGGAAAAGAGACAGTCTGTAATTAGGTTAATGTTCAATTATGACCAAACACTGAGATGATCAGACAATGATCAACAGCTAATACAGCCCCACATAAAAGTGACTTTCTCACAATTAGAGTTCAATGCCATGAATTTTACATTTTACAGTATCTTGGTGAAGCATAAAATAAATCACTGTTTCTTTTGTAAGTGATTCACCATGTAAAGCAGTTTACAGAAACTTCCTAGCACAATACCATTACAAATTGTAAATTACAATTAAAGTCTAAGGCAGGTTGAATTTTTTTAAATATAGTACTGTAATAACAACAAACTTTGGGGGTAAAATGTTACCCAAACTTATCTTTGTTTGAGTGTTAAGTTTTTGCTCTGACACTGAACTATGATGTTGTTATCTGTCAGTTTAAGTTTTCACATTGCCATTTATATTTTTCTCACAATTCCACTTATTTCCCTCGGTTTTTTTTCTGGCCAGCAGTGGATGTTATCAGATGGGACTCATACATGGCACAGTTTAGGTTACAGAAACTACTAGTATCTTGTTACTCTGACATAAAAAGAAGTTCTTCTTAATGAAATAACCAATCCAGCAGTTAGGCTTCTGTGTGAGAAACCTGTCACCTTATCGCCGTCTGTAAAATCTAGGTCGTCTCGTAGCATTTTAGAAGAAATAGCACATGGGAATGGAGAGGGCTCTATCTCTATCTAAGCTCTATCTGAAAGACGTGCATCGTCCAAGTAAAGAGAGCCACATTAGGGACACATTAGGGTTCTCAGCAGTATCTAAAAACGACTTTTCTAAAAGCTGAAATGGGCAAAGTAGCTTCCACTGCGATCTTTATCGCAGACACGTGAGCGCATCCTTCTCTCCTGAGGTTTGTGTGTGCCAAGAAGGGGTACAGTGCCGGGTTTGGGGGCGACCCTGGTGGTCCGTAACTGTTTTTGACTCTACATTCAGGCCCTCCAGCTGCCCAAGCACATTAAATGCCCCTCATTCACACAGTGGAAGCAGCTGCCCTTTCTCATTTAAAGGCTAGTCGTCAACACTGACCAACTCACATGCCGTGCTCGGTTGGCCCGGGTGAGCAGTGAAAAGGGTGACTTATTCACCATCCAAAAACACAAAACCGCAGGAAGGAATCAGAGATAAAAGAACACCAAAATGTTTTCCATATTCCCTGCATTCCTCTCTTACATTGAGAATGACGTTTCTTAAACCTTCACCTTTATAAACTTTGTTTCATAGATGCTGCTTGGGCAGTTTTTCAATCACTGGCTCAGTCACTTCTCCTGTGCTTTTGCTCAAACTTTTTGTGTATGCAAATCACACATTATCTAGAAAAAGTATCATGCTCCAAGAACGGACGATTGTTAATCCCAAATGGTCCTGGAATAAAAGACAAGACGAACCATCATAGATTAACCATTTTAAGCTTCACAGACATTCACAAAAGAAACACTTTCTA